ACTTAAAATAAGTGTTATAAAAATTAAAGTCTTGTTTTTAATTTTAACATATTCGGTGAAAGAAAACAGTGAGGAAACCTTGACTTATAATTTCAAATTATAAGTTTGAAATCGCCAACCCGTCTTGAGCAAGCGTGGTCATTAATGCTCAAACCTTCTCCATGGGAGAAGAAGCCTTTGCTGATGCTCAGCAGGGGGCTCTGATGTGTTAATGAGTGAGTATTCGTTAATTCTTTATTTAGACTGATAATTTCTTGAAAATCTATTTGCCTTATTTCGTTTAATAAATTTATAAGATTTATAACAGACCTGTCATAAAGATTATTCCAATGGTTTAGGATAAACTGGAGATTTATATGATGAAGAAACAAGAAATAAGTAGATTGAGAACAACAGCTGAAAACCGGTTTATAGGAAAAGTACTCCGAGGATTAAACAGGGGACGAGAGTATTAATGAAAAACGATTTTTACCCGATTTATATAATGGGACTCTTTAAAATTTTAGGGATGATAAAAAAAGGTAATAATATTGTGAATAAATAAAGAAATGTTCATTCTCATTTAGTTATAATTAATTTAAAAGTTTCAAGACTGAGAGAGTAGCTACTCTTATAAAAAACTTTCATGGTTGGTCTAATAATAGTTGACATTTCCCTGATGCGTTGAAGTGAGATTTTATTTTTAACAGGTTTTTAATGCGTATAAGATTTAGATACCCGTGTTTTAGATATTTTAATACTCAATTACTATTTAATGTTATAAATTTTTAACTTTTAGAAAACAACTTTATACGAAGTTAATGAGATTTATAACAAAAATATTCATTTGAACAATTTGACGAGAGATTATAAAATTATAAACTAAATTGAAAATTATTTAAAACATTGTTATATTCAGGAGGAGTCTGCCAACTGGCAAGAGACTCAGTCGTTTATCACAACTCTATGAATATTAAAGTGTAAATAATCACTTCACAATTAAACTTTGAATGTTATCAGATATTTATCTATTACGTTTAATGTAGATAAGAAATAGAATACGTGCATAATGCTATATAGTTAGGATTACTGTACATGATAATGACATTTACACTAAGTAATGTAACAATATTCATAAACAGCTTCATGTATGTATGTCTGTTCCTTTTCTCATTAATATAATGAACCGAACAAAACTGGTTACAACCAGTTAGATCTATGTAGTTGCAACGCGTTAAATTTTAAGTCCCTTAGAAATTGTGAGGCTTAGACTAATGAAGCCAGGTGTGTTCACGTGATCATACTATGGCCGTGCATTTGTGATGAATTTAAATTATCACGGAATAAAATGCTACGAGTATCAAACACACAAAACATTCCTAAGCGTACCTACTTGTATACATACAAACTATTTGAATGTAATTAAATGATAATAATGAGATATAAACAGATTGTTTGAATTTGTTTTGATAAAATCACAACATCATATGAATTTTGGTGTGAATTTCTTTTGAATGTTATACGACAGCATAGTGAAGCTTGATTTTGTAACAAATATTTATGTTTTGATAATAAAATTAACTTGCCTCTAGCTACACAAACTGTGCCGGTATTACATGAATATTATTCATGTGTCTACTAGCTTTTGTGAGCAGTTTCGCTCGAATGTTACCGCTAGAACCAAACATTAAATTCTTTATAAAAAAAGTGTATGAAATTAAAAATATTTAATGCATATGTATATACTACGCCTTACTCATTACTTAAAGACATTGTTTTATGTAATTTCTATATAAAGACGTTCCTTTTAATTACCTACTAACTAGTGCAAGTCCAATTAAAATCTATTTAGCCGTAAGAACAAGATAAAAAATAATGACCACGTGCTTCATATATAATTATAGGCATTTGAGTAAATGTAGATAGATGAATTTAAATATTAAAGTGACACTTTTTGATATCTATTGGTACAATTAAATTGTATCCTTATTCACTAGTGACTAGAGACTTAAATCCTTCGAAAATAAATAGTTGTTTCTATAAATATATGTATTAAAAGTTACAGTTGTCGTTTTTCTACACTATTTTTTCCATTCAATTTATATTACTACATACGATTAGTGCTGTAATAAAAGGCACCTAATTATATCTGATACATGATCTCGTAAATTTATTTCCTATATAAAGCAATAAATACTTTAACGATTTTGATATATCCTTAATAATCGTGTGTGATAAAATAAGAAACAAACAGAAAAAACAAAAAAGAATAAGCAAAACAAATCCATATCCTTAAACAATTCGACTTACGTAACTTCAAGATCAAGTAGCGTATTAAAATTTTATTTATAGAATTATATAGAAAATATATTATTGAAAATGTTCGAAATCTTTTATTATCGGTTGATAACAATCATAATATAATTTAGATAAATTTTAAAAAATATCAACCAATTAATAATTTCCATACATTCCTACGCCAAAACAATATTACGAATATAAAATACAATCAAATTAATTAAATATAAACACGTAATGATAAATTCGAAATATTCCAACAATCATTTAAAATCGTTATTAGCTTCGATTGCAGCCGCGGCGTTTGACTGGCGAAAGTTGTCAGGAAAGAGAGAAAGTAACGTAAGACGAGTTAAAACGGCTTTCTTCCCTTAGCTTAATGTTTTGTCCTAACTAGATCTATATAATATATAAACATGAACTTATTCTACATTTTCAACATATTATATAGGTCATTCTTCTTCTTCTACCTGGCAATTTCCTAGCTTTAGCCAGAGTCTGCCTTAAATGTTGTCAATAGTTTTGGCTAATTGTTTTTACGACCGACTGCCTGCCTGACATCAACCCTCTTTGGGAATGCATTAATTAGTGTCTAAATACTCTTAGAAAGTACATATGACTCGGAATATTTTACAATATTTTCAACATATAAAGGTTATTACAACTAATGACAGATTGGTTTTTTGTTGCCAGTTTAATTAAACTAGTCTTTAAAATGCAAGATCAGTAGAGACTATTTTATACATATCAAGATTAATTTATATAATACTAACTCATATCATGCGTTTATGTGGTTCCATTTAAATTTCACACGGCATTAATTGTATTTACATGCACCGTCTAGATCATTTAAATTGTTACCTATAATACAACATATCTAGAATTTTCTTACATTATAAAGAGTCTTGTAGAATTTCGAATATTTTTTTTCTTTGCTCCATTTTTTATTTTTATTTCCTTTATCGAATCATAAAAGAATGTCTTCGGAAAGTTGTAATAAACAAGTTCCTTATTATAAGATGATCAGATATCTTTTAGTATATATAATATATGTATATGTTTATGTTTATATATGTTTATATAAACAAAGTATAAAAATAAGTTTAACAATTTCACAACTGTATTTATTTAATGACATGTGTATTTAAATTATACCGATACTTAAACCAATAGACTAATGTATTGATATCTATATGTGGTTGTAATTTAAGTAAGTATTTAAGTTAATGATGTCATCACAGTCCTACAAGACTAGAAAAGTCCTTGAAACAACAATGGCCTGCGACCCTATTCTCATGTACCTTTGTGGTAACAATCAAGTATTTTTGTGAAATTAAATAATGTGTGATAAATTTAAGAGATATACAATGAGTATTTACTGTTTTTATTTTCATCTACACAAGACAAATTTTCGTGTCAAGAGATAATGAAACGTTCATTTAATTTGTTACACTAATAATGTTACGTTATGAGGAGCTATTAAGATACTCATTAGACGAATAAACATTGTACAAACAGTTCGATAGAATTAGCTGTGACACTGCAAGCATACCTTCATGGAAACATTATTGTAGCACAATCGACGTTCGAACATTTTCACACGACGCAAGAATTACAAACACCAATATAAAACTGAACTTTCACGCGACCAGTACGTCACAACACAATTCGCTAAAATTAATAACTGCTTTTAAAACACTTCACATATATCACCAAAACACCTGGCGTATTGTTTTCACTGAACGTACACAAATAAAGCACCTCCTTTGAAAATACTTGCGAAAAGATATGTCAATCGACGTCAAATCTTCGGCAATCTATTAAAACATTCGGTATTTTAGTCGCGACAGTAATTTTTCTAACAATTTAATCACGATAAGCAAGTTTTTAATATTAGATGAATGAATCACAATGTTTCAAGTAAATAGGTCTGCAATCACGGACTGGACATTTATTCTGACTACCACGACACGATTCTTTCGACAACTGAAGTCTGGAAGAGTAAAATTCGCAACGGATTACAGACTACTACTGCTCAACTCAACCGCACTGACTTCTGACATTTAGTGACAGATGACAGTTGCAATGTTACCTTTACTAAAAAAGATGCAATTTTAAAATGTTTATTGCAAGACGTATTGATTGAAACGTTTTTATATACGGCACTGGCAACCTTTGTAATAAACAAAAAGAATCTTCTATATGGAATGAGCGGCACAAATCGTTTTTTAAATTTTCCTGAAGATTATATACCTATTTTAGACTAAAAAGGATAAGATAATAATATTATCTCTTGTTTTATTTACAATAAGTTATTTTTGTTATTTTTCGGAATTCGTTTAATTATCCTGTATATACACGTGACAATTATAATAAATCAGGTCTTATAAGGTTCTTATTAATATAAATGTTAGATATAGGTATACTCAAAATAAAACGAAAGGTTATATATTTATTTTCATGTTGACTACCGTTATAGCTACAAAGAATCGAAGCTATCAAAAACGGAAAGAAGAAAAATAAGCACCTATAACTGTACTATTTATATTTATATAATATTTACATTTAACACTAGCAACGATACAAAAAGATTATTATTCTAAGGAAACAAAAGAGACAGATCATTATATAAATAAAAACCTGTGAGGTCAAGTAATTCAAATTAAAGCCGCAATGTATAACACTGCAAGCTCTCATGAGTAACATAATAATATTCTTCAGTCTTACATTTTATTCAAAAGAAGTATACTGCCTGGTTCACTGAAAGGACCTACTCTAGATTTGACATCTACAGCCCGAACAGCGAAATAGTACTTATAACCGGCCATAAATTGGGTTAATGTGCACGCCATTGGCAGTGGGAGCGCCTTCACATCGCCAATTTTTTTCCACAGCGCTGTATTGGGAGGTGATGTGGTCTCCTGATAGGCGTACAGTTGAAAACTTGCTATTTCTTCATAATTTTCTTCTACAAATCCATCAATCTTCCACGAAATAACAATACCATTTTCAACTTTGGATAGTTTTAATTCAGGCGCTGGAGGCAATGATTTCCAGTTAGGTGGTTCAAATTGCTTTGTTGATTCAGGCAAAGGTGCAGGATGTCTTGTCAATTGTCTTCCAACTCTAACATTACTTGGTGGTTTGGCCATCAATGAAGCCGGCATTCTTTGTCGAGGACCTATAAGCAAAACTTTTTTTAGATTTTATATTGTCTAAGTTATTTTTGATGGTAGAGAAGTCACAACTTACCTGGTGCAGGTGATATAGCTTTAAGCATGAATGTCTGTCCGGGACGAACTCCTTGAGTTTGTGAACCACTTATTGGTATGTAAACTTTACGGGGACTATTCATATTAGGAGCAAATGTTTGTCTTGGTGTAGCCATTAAGTTTTGTGGTGGGACCAATCTGACCGGTGGATTAACATTTCTCTGGGGTTGCTTACTTGGTGGTTCATCATCTGTAAGGTCCACTGTATCTGCATTATTCTGTTGCATTTTACTATGAGGCCTTTTCTCAGGCTTTTGTGCTGGAGGTGAACTCTTAACGGACACTCCATTAAGGAGTGAACCAGAAGCTTGTTTATTTGTAGGTGACTTGTTGTTTGTATTAGTATTGAGTGCGGGCACCAACCTAGGTACAGGAATCATTTGAGTCTTCTTATTATTTGCTAATTGTGGCTTAATTTGTTTGTTATTTGGATTATTATTTGGTCCCACAGCTGATTTCCTTCTAGCTGCACATTTATCTGTCATTAACACTTGCATGCCGACAGATCTTGTAATTTTCAATGGGTTAATAACTTGATCTGGACGCTTCTTCTGTTCCTCTTGAACAGATTTCAACACAACCTGTAAGTCCCTGTTTTGTTTTGAGATCGTTTGTGTCCTTTTCTTGTATTCATCGAGATGCTGGGCCATTGTTTTTAATTGATTTTTTATTTCTGCTAAATTGCTTCTATCAACTACACCTTCTACTATTTTCATTATACAGAATTGTTCGAGCTCATCTCGGGTCATATCTGCCAAATTCTTCTTACATGTTTTGAGGAAATTTGTAGGTAACAAAGGCTTCGTCTTTTTACAATCTACATCACACTTTACTTCTGAATTTTCTTCACTTTCTTTCTTTTCATTGTCGATTATCTTTTCTGCATTATCTGATGTGTCTGAAAAAAAACAATGAATGTCTGTTTTAATGAATTTTGATATTTGATAAGAACTTCAATGATAACAATAAATTATGTTAAGCAGATTTATAAGCAGTAACTATTTATTTTCTTATCACATTACAAGGATTGAAAAATGTTCATACCTTCTTGTACAGTTGGGGTTTTCGTTTCTTGTGTCATATTTAATTTTGTTTCATCCTTACAAGTTTCATTATCATCTGTAGCTTTAGAATCATCCACATGTTCTTTGTTCACCAGTGGCGGGTTGTCATCGACCAACATAATATCATCATCGTCATCTATATTAATGCAGACCTTGTCATTATCACCAATAACATCCTTCTGAGGTTCCTTTTCATCGTCTCTCTGAGGTATTTCTTCCTCCTCATCCGACAATATATCTAACGTGTTAGAAAGTTTACATATATGAGAAAGCTTTTTTTTGTCTTCACCACTGTTTTCCGTAGATGTTTTTCTTTCTGGACTAGAGCTTAAACTGCCACCATCTTTAGTATTAACAACTCCAGACTTTTGTTCACTAGAAGTAGTGTTATCCGATTCATTCTTTGGCTCATTTAATACATCAGCTTTGCTTGATTTCTTTTGAGTGTGTGTGTTAGTAAGTTCTAGGTCATCGTTTTGTTTTTCAACAGAGTTTGAAGCGTCTTCATCCTTCTCGTCTGATAAATTTATGACGTCATCATTGGCTGTGCTGACATGATTATTTTCATCATGAGATACATCATTAACTTCACTAACGTCATTTTCACAATCTTGATCTATAGACGTCGAGTCCACATCCATCGCTTCATCTATAGTATCAGCATGTTTCTCATTGTCTTCAACCTCCGCTGTACCATTTTGTTCCTTATTATGTACTCCTGTATTTGCATCGTTATATTTCTCACACACATCACATCCAGCGCCATCGTTTTCGAGATCACAGCTTCCTATCCGATCATCATTGTCTTCCTCCGCTTCTACTTCATCGCCACTTTCAATATTATTCAATTCCGGCTCATCGGATTCAATGTCATCCAAATCTTTCCCCTGTTCTGAAAGTTCAGGAACTTTATTTTTATTTTCTTCCTTAACCCTTTCATCTGTTCTGTTGTCCTCTCCATCTGATAGTACCTCCTTATCCCCAGCCGCATTATTCCCATCATCATTTTGTATTTCGTCACACGAATCTAAAGTCTTTTCGGCATTATCGTCACCATCATTGTGTCCTTCGTAATCTTTGATCAAATTTTCTATTAAGGCCGCATGGTCAAATTTTTGGTCCAATGATTTCTGTTCTATCGTTGACATGTTACTCTGTATACCAGTGTCTACATCAGTTGTTAAAATTAATTGCATTGTTCAGCATTTCTTAGGACTTGTCGGCTATATTATCTGAAATTGAAACAAAAAAAAATATATAATCCAGGAATTTATTGTATATTATATTATATTGCGAAAGAAAATAATGATATCGTAATTTTTATAACTAGATATTAACGTTTCTATTGAATAAAAATGTAATAACTTCAACATAAAGCGGACAATTTAAAACCAAACAATCTAAATTTCAAAAATACACGACAGTAAACATTACCACGTCATGATAGGTATTTATCATATGTAATACAATATTAAAACTCAAAATGTACTAAATTCTTCCGGCAGCTTTACCCGCGGACCGTTGTGTTATAAAATTATATATCGTATCTAGGAATTTAGTCTATGGTCATATATCTGACATATTACGGTATGCCCATGACAATCCGAACAATCTTTCACGTCAAAATAAAACAATCATCTACGAATACACATGTCCAAAGATTTTTTCCAATTATTAATGTGTGTAGGACTACCCTGGTAATTAAAACCATAAGCATTCCTCATAGAAAACAGCATTTCTATCAGAAATATACCTTACAAACCGAATAACCAAACAATAGAAATAAAACTATGAAATCCAAAAGAAAAAAAAATTAAAGTAACAAATAACCTAACAACTGAATAAAACGTTGAAAACGATGGAAAATCAAAACAAATATACATAAATATAAAAGGACCATTTTTTATGAATTAATAAAACAAAAAAATATATATATGATAATTACAACAGCTGCCGGTAAAAATACAATATCGAAACATGGAACAGATAAAGATGAATGTCTGATGTAAAGAAAAATATAATAAGGAAGCATCCCACTTTCACCAAGGAGACTTGAAGCATGTGCGACAAGGATGAAAAAAAAATATAGATAAAGGTGGAACCGGTATAGATCCGTATTGACCGGACCAAGAGACCAGGGAAATAATATTATTGAAGTGGGGTAACTTCGACAAAAGACACTCACTAACACAATACAAAATTCAATGGAATAAAAAATGCCGTTAAGATAAATTTACAAAAAAAAAATCATAATAATAAAAATGCACAATCATAAACCTCGACAATAAGAACTCCAGTGACCGATAAAACTCACATGAAATGAAAAACCCACCTAATTATATTACAAAGAGTAATCCAGAAGTAAAAGAACAATTAAGAAGATGATTAAATGCACGAAATACGGGCACACTGTCACACGACTTAAACAACACTGACAAGCAGAAGGATAGAGAAGAAAATGGCGGCCGACAAAATAGCAACGCCGCTTGTGGCGATAACGGAAACTAAAAAATACAGAGCAGGCGAGTATAGAGGTGTTTTCGCGAACACTTCCACGAATTACAATGTACGTGTAAACAGGACGGCAATAGCGGAAAGCATCGAAAAAGACAGAGATAGCATATCGATTTCGTCACTGTGTCTGTAGTTCAATTTAGAATGAATATTACTCTGTACACGACATTATTCGTGACGATTGTAAAGCTATATCAACTACGGACACGTCACTGCAATCTCATTCTCTTGTATTCTCCATTTGGGAGCGCTTTTATGTATCGGTCTCAGTTTATTTATAATATATTACATTAAATATCATCATTAATGAGGTGTTCACATTATGGTTATAAAATTTATGTTTTGGTATGAAATAATTAAAAAAAAAATCATCAAAGTCCTAAAAATTGTATTTAAAAAAAGAATGTTGAATAATTGATATGAAATAAAATAAATATGTCAATTTGGAAGCTATGCGACGTTGCCGCTCTGAACGGACCAGGGAATGTCGAGTGGGCTGCTCATGTCTGACTCTCAGCCGATGTCGGCCGAGTGATGACGACGACTGCCGAACTTGCTCGAACACGGCTCAAACACAAACGTCATCACAAAAATAGACATATCTGCTAGCAGAATTAACAGAATTTTGGCATATCTGTGTAACCATACACGCGAAGAATTAGGAAATATTCTGAAAATACTCAAAGAAGAAACATGTAGCTGATAGAACTACCAAGACAATTCTCTCTTTGATGAAATGGTTCACAAGAATGGGATGTTATACTTCAATAACAGCCTATTTATATTGCATTACAAATTAAAGGATACAGTTAATTTATAATTTTAAAATATTCTTTTACACATTTTACAATATTTTTTTACATATACTTTCTCCAGCGCAAAAGAAAATGAAACAATATTTATTATTTTCGACTCAAAAATATAACACTAACGAAACACGCTGTAAAAGGTAAAAGTAATCGTGGAAGTTATACAACACTGCGTTTAACCGCGGGTCCCTACCACTCGCATGAACTAATTCAGCAATGAATAGTAACAAAACCAAAAATATCACACATACAATAGGAGTTGTACCACAGTTTATATCGATAAAATGTATCTCTTAATAATGTCAGTTTTATTTATTGCATCTTTAATTTATAGAAGTAGGTATCTACTTTTGGAAACTAAAGCGATCTAGGCGCTTGGAGACAAAGAAAAAGTTTAATTCGGACTATGTTGTGTATGAAGTGAATAAAAATAAATATAGCGGATGACCTTCACAGCCTTTTAGAAAATCATATTTGGTAATATCGAACTTAAATGTATTAAAACGAAAAAACTCTAAAGAGAATAGGACATCACCGGTGTATGTCAATAGACCTTATAAAACTGAAGATTAATAAAAAGTAAATATACTTCGTTATTAAAACTCAGTTTAAGACTCTTCAACGTTGCTGTCATAAGAACCTAGTGGGGGAGAACCGAGAAGGTAATTTAAACCAGTCAAGAAGAAAACAAAAACGAGCGATGGTGTAACTATAGGCTGACCAGGCTTTCAAGGGTTTCTGAAGGACATCAATAAATTATCACAGGCCATGACATGCGCATAACTGTCCTGCTGTATACTGGGTAAACTGTATGAGATTACAATGAGAGTGAGCTCTGTCAGGCATTGATTCAGGGCTTATCGTAAAACACTAAATTGAGCACATTTAACTTGTGCATGGCCAACTGTGCACGTAATCATATGCCAGCAACGTCGCATTGGGTCGCGTTGGAAGCGATACGCGACGTTGCCGCTCTTACTGCAGCAGATATAGTATGCGGACTTGGTGAACGTGTAATATATCTATAGTTTGCTGTTAAGATAACTAGATATATTATGTATTACGGAAAATTTTGTGCAAATTTTTATGGTCGTAGTGAGTTAGATCGTCTCATCCACTATATAACTTGTAGTGGACGACCAATACGTCCTGATGTATAAGGCATTCCCTTGAATGGATTGATAAACTAAAAAGTAAAATACATAAATTTCAAATATATCAAAAATATAACGCCTACAAAATGAAAAAATATGGAATACAGTTCCTGCAATAGCGAAAGGGTAGACAGAAGTAGAATAATCTACATAATGAATTGGAGGCAATACCTACCTCGATTTTCAATTCAGTCATAGAAATCGAGATAGCATCCCTACAAATTTTAGTTATACAAGAAAGAAAACGGTGTTTCCTCTTATGTCAAAACGTTCAGAGGGACCTGAAAATACAAAAAAATCTCATTAGTTTCAACACTTACCAAAATAAATGTAGAAGATTTTTTCTAGCAGCACATTGCGTAACCTTCAATTGCCAATGCCAAACTTCTCCTTTGGGTAAAGGTCGAAGTAACGCTAAGGAGTAAGAGTAATCAAATGCACAGTCGTGCGCCGATTCGGCACGCGCGGTAGATCCGCCATTTTGTCGTGAACACGAAATTACACGAGTTAGAGGAGTATAGAGATATTGTTTACTCATTCTAACTCTACACTTTTGTATCATTAAGTAGGTGTTTGTTGTTTGTTCTGGTCTGTCTTCTTTGAAGTACTTCTTCCTTTTCTCTATTGCATTTATCTAAAGTCATTGTAACTAAAATTATGGCCGCTAAGATTTAATACAATGTTTTGTTATCAGTATTCAGTCATAGTCAAATTGACAGGTACCTAGTAATTCCTCGATTGTTTTAGGTTAGGTAATATTTCTTTTTAAAATCGATTATAAGGAGACTTGAAATTATTGTTTTTCGTTGCTAAGAGCCTATTATGAAGGGTTCTATTTATTTTTTTGTACCTAGTATTCTACATTTAACCTCTTTACCTACATTGAACGAAATTTATTGAAATAGAATATTTGCATTCCTATATTCTTCTCCTCTATTAAAAGGCAAATGATTACTTTGTTATCGGTGAATACGCTAAGCAGTAATAAATAATTTACGACAATATGAATCAACGCAATGTAGCTCCATCTTTAGTTCTTTAATAAAACTCCTGAGTAATATACACAGAGAAAAATTTTCTTTGTATGATTCAGATGGCGCTGTGCAATTACGCTCAATAATAGAAGATTATATTTGATTATATTTTTGTTTAAATATATAAAAAGGTATACCAAATTAGACTTCTTAGAACAAATATAATATTTGTAAAACATTATTTTTTTTTATACAAACTGAACATTTATACTATTTTAGTTATCACTTGTAATTGATCTAGGTAGATTATTTCAAATACATTAAGTAATATTTTGTATAATAGTGTAAGGTACTATATTATTTAAATTTTACTTAACAATTTTTGTTCTGGAGGCTTATAAAGCCTCCAAATAAATCATCGACACTTATTAAAAACTGAATTATGTCGTTTATAAACAAAAACAGAAATTATTTTTTGTAATCCAAAATTCTGTGAATTTGTGAATCAAATTATCGTAAAGAATTATGTTTCTCTAAGTTTCATATTTATACTACTGACTGAATTTAATATATTTGTGCAGGTTTATGAACGTATTACCTTCTTGACATTGAAAAGTTGTACTTCAAAGTGATTCAAATTTCAAAGTGTCTCTTGCAATTTAAAGAATTAATATGTATACAAATAACAAAGTACCATTTAAAATGTACTGAATATTTTTTAATTACTTTATTATACAAAAATATAACCATGATTAAAATATTTCATACAATAACAAATAGAAACCGATTGGTATATTACTTTTGACACATTATTTTGTATTGAATTGTTTGGTTGTAGTTAAATTTTATGTGATTTTCCAGGCTCGTTGGACGCTATCGGCAGAGTTTAAAAGGTTTTACAGTGTCAAACAAAACTACTCCGAAATAGAACAAGAAAAGATATTAGAAGTTCTAAATGAAGACCAGTCGAGTTTGGCTAGGTATGAGGTTATAAAAGGATTTATTATGTCTGTTTGAATGGTTTATTATATTTATATTTTAATTAATTAATATTTTAGAAATAAAAACATATTTTAAAAATAGTAGATTACAGAAAACGTGATTTATATTTCATTAGGTATGACATAACCAAAGCCAGAGCAAAGAATGTGGCTGAATGGGTGAAACAAAATGGTCAAATAAAAACATTAGCAGACATTGAATGTATAGAAGGTTTTACGGAGAGGAACACTAAGAAATTATTCAAAAGTATTTTAGAGGATAAACCAAAAACTCAGAATTTAAGTAAAAAAATTAGAGGACAGATATTACAACCTAATTTAAGTGAAAGTGTTAGACAGGTATAGTCTAAAATAAATTTAACAAAAACCTTTTATCACTTTCTTAATATAGATTATCTATAGAAAATAACTCATAATATTGATTTTTGAACTACAATAATAGAGTAAATTTCATGTATGTGATAAAAATTAATTAATTATTAATATAATTTCAGTGTTGTCAGTCTGTACTGGCTGTATATATAACAGCGAGTTCAGTTTGTTGGGCATTTATTAATAGAAGTAATTATGAATTACAACAATGGGTCTATCACGGCATTGACTATCCCGAAGGAAAGAAAATGCAGATCACTGATATATTAGACATTGTAAGTTATAAAATATATTACTTATCTTCTATATACAGGGTGACTGGTGAATTACTATCAATATTTAAGGAGAATACTCGGTACATGATTCTCATTCGAATTATGTAAAGAAATAGGCACTTAATTTTTGACAAAATTTCCGTATAAATAAATAAAGTGTTGACACGTTCCAAGTGTTAAAGTGTGGACGCGTGCGGCGGCGTGCTGATACAACAACACGTCACGACACGCGTATGTGTGTGTGTGTGTGTATACCTAATCTGTAGGGTGCTCACACGATGCGTAATTAATTACACAACTTTTGGTTAACTTTACTTAGTAGTTTATTAATATTTATGTTATATTAATTTTTATTTTGTCATATATGATCGTCAAATATCACGTCCTCAAATATCGATAGTAATTCACCAGTCACCCTGTATATAAAAATGGATTGCTGTTCCTTGGTCTCGCTAAAACTCGAGAACGGCTAAACCGATTTGGCTAATTTTAGTCTTGAAATACTCCTGGAAGTCCAGGGAAGGTTTAAAAGTTGAGAAAAATTGGAATAATTGCCGGGAAAACCCTAAAAACAGCTCTTTTCTATTTCCCATACAAACGTTTTTTTTGACATTATATTTGACAACTAACTAATATGTCAATCATTCTGTTTGATTGAAACAGGCAAAATCTGATTATTTATCGCCTCTAAGACGGAATAAAGTTCGACTGGTCAGCTATACCTACATATATTACTCTTGACCAAACTAACGCGGACGAAGTCGCGGGGAAAAACTAGTTTTATATATAAAAGACAGTTGTGTTAGTTACACTATTTATAACTCAAGAATGGCAGTACGAGTTTGGATGAAAATGGGTGTGAGATAGTTTTAAACAGGGGAAAGGACATAGAATTCATAAAAAATAATTATTTTAACTTATAAGTTAATCAAATCTAAAATCTTCTTATCTACTGTCAGCTATACATTTCTAATTGTTAAATTAAAGCGGACGAAGTTGCGGGCTAAAACTTGTATTTAACAAGTTAATCCTTTATTCCATATGAATAATCTATAGGATCTTTATTATTTTTCAATGATTTTATCAAGCAATTTGATACTTATGTTTTATCAAAGGCATGGAAGATAACAAGTATATTACCTCAAGCAGACATCTATGTAACAAAGGCTGAAGCTACTACATTAAGGGCAAGTGGCAATGATCCCGGGAATGCTAAAGTATTAGCGGTCAATTTACAGAAAGCACAACTGGTTGCTATGATAGTGGCATTGATTAATGCTAGACATTTAGATGGGTATGTTTTATAGTTTATATTGTTGATGTTCATGCAGATGTTTTTAAAAAAAAACAGCTTCAATCAGAAATTTACTTTAAAAAATCTATAAAATTAGTCTTTAAATATATGATTTTAAAAAGAAAATAATAAGTAGTTCCATTAACAATATTGTATTATATTCATATGTATAAGCAACAATGAAAAACCAATTTGACTGGAATATTTATCCTACAATGATAGTATAGGAAAAGATATTTTTTTAGTTGAATTTATTACAAATCATGATTGATTATTATTTTTCTCTTTAGGAACGTCTCTGAAGATGAAGCAGAGATTAAACAAAAAGTTTACTTCCTAAGACCAACATTACCCTTTAGGTATGTAAGATTTAAAAATATTCTAATTAAGTTGCAAACAGTTTGTTCTCATATATTTTTCTTATATAAACTTGCATAAATTTATATTGCTAAAAATCAAAGAAATATTTGGAATTTGAAAAAAGGTTTTTAAGACTGTTCACTGACTGTCACAGTTTGGTGAAAATGTTTTAAACATGAAAACAAAAAGGAGTTTAAAATCAATTAGAAACTAAATTATACATAACACTATTTTAATATGATTCAATAGATGATTGCTAAAAAGTTAGTTATGATTTTTTTTTACAAAAAATAAATGAACTACTTTTTTGATTGTTTTTAACTTTAATTTGTTTGCTAACCTTAACACAAAGTTTAACTAACTTTAAATTTTACCTTTTTACAGTTTTCAATAATGGTCATAAATTCTATAAAAAAATTATGTGGACATTCCATTGTATATGAAAAGTTGTCATATCAAATATAATTTTATTGGAAATATTAAATTTTACGTATTTTTGTCTTTATGAATAATATCTCATTACAGACTCTACGGAACACTAGTAGGCAACGAACGTGTATCAACAGAACAGACTGTAGAAAATTTACTTCAAGAAGTTTCTAGAAATGAAGCAAAGAATCAAGTGAAAGTTCCGGAACATCTGTGTACTATGTTCCAACAACAGAAAGATCTTCAAAAAGACATGCTGGGACACTGTCTTCTTATGGCTCTCACCTTTATGGATATATGTGTGTACAGAAACAGTGATAGCATCAATAAATTGTTGAAACGTAGTGAATAGTGACCAGAAAATAAAATATATACTATGATGATTGTTTTATTAGTAAATAAATTATTTTCCTAACAAGATATATATATATGTATATAAAATCGAATATAGAATATATTCAAAGGTATATTAAAATCAGAAATTGTTTCGCACGTCCCCTTTAAGCCAGTCATTCGGGGAAAATCACGGTTTACCGAAATTATGTTCAAGCGATTTCCGTTACTAAAGCATAGATGTCGCTACTAGGTCATATCATAATTCTTGACGAGTAGTTGCAAGAATGCAAAAAGTATTTAATATGTTTTACTAAGATATGAGTATTTTATTATAGGTATTTATTATGTTTTTAAAATGATATTTTTTTTCTTCGTTCGATTTAATTTGTTCCAGTAGCTGATTTCCAATAAGCTTATAATTCCAATAAGCTTATAATTTGACAAGCTATAATTTTAATACTGATATTGGGAAATTAAGATTTTTACGGATTTTTACAATATTATATTAATTAACATTTATGATTTATGAAATTTGTTTAACGGAAAAATAATTCAATCATAATTGCTAAGTCTATATCCAAGTTAGTGATTGATTATTATAAAAAACGCGATTGTTTCACTATTTACATTTTCCTTATAAAGATTTTTAGCCATCTGATATTTAACTTTATTAAAATTAAATATAATTTTATTGTTGCTACAATGGAAATTTTGCTTACAAATTTATCAATTAAGCACAAGAACAATAAGAAACGGCCATGGTATCATGTTGAATATTAAGTTATTTATTATAAGGATATTCAGCTATTTGTCTGTGCTTAGTAACTGACGTCAATGTTTTCTTTTATAAAGGGAAGAAAATAAAACTGCCTTGTTTTGCTTCAGTTGGACTAAAAAGTGTTTATTTGATAAAATACAACGAGCTTACTTTTTACAACATTTTACTTCTATTAAATGACAAAAAAAAAAACAAACAAAACCCTTAATACAATAATAATATACATAAATACGATGGTATCAACTTCAAACGGATAATACGTAACTAACATAAATGCAAATCTAGGCAAGATAGTTAATTTCAATAAAAAATATATCTTAATCAGAAAATAATGTAATTATAAAATAACTATTATATAAAAAAAAAATTACACCGAGAAGTTCTAATTCAAAATTCTCTTAAGATCACAAATACACTTTTGATCTAACCAAAGTCGAATTTTGTATTTAATACTGATATCATTTTGGAAGAACTAGAAAAAAATATTTACAATTTATTTTTAATTTTTTTTTCTTAATATGCCAACGTTTAATTTTTATCGCCTGGATGTTTGTGACCATATCGCAACCAACTGTTTAATAAACGAACACATGGACAAATAATAACTTAATCTGATTTTCAACTGTTGTGTAAAAAGTTAGATCTTGTATTCTGGGATTGTCTAAAATCAATTGTATATAGTCTATTTCGGCGGTATTGTATGTAAGAAAATATACTCTATTGTAACATGTGGTCGGGGTTGTGGAGGCGCGATCCTTTGGCCCTGCTGCTTCAACTACCAAGACTGGTCAAACCTTGAATTACGAGGTTCACCAGGTAATGTACAATGTATAAAGCACGATGAACATATTGTCAAGAAACTATTGCTGGCGTAGCTACGACTAACAGCTTTAGCTAGTGGCTACTGACTTCGTTGTGACAATAACAGGTGACGAGCTAAAAGCAAGGTTTGATAATCTCAGCTGTTTGTGAATAACGTAAATGGTATAAAATAATATATATTTATAAACTATATGGAAGACGAGAGTGCAACCTCCGCGCGGACGACCTCGAGGATCGTGCCTCGCCAACCCCGGTGGATACATCTGTAGAAACCTAACAACATTGTAAAATTACCAGTCTATTGTTTAATATTACAATAAATATGTACAAGTCATAATATAACAGCACCCATTTCACTGAAACCATATATCGGCGAAGCTACGCCGCCCATTACGCTCCTTATAAAAAAAATCTGTAATATATCACTGCTTTATTGTATAAAAATGTATTATTGTATATTTTGTAAAATCTGTATATCTATTGTACTATCCGGTATAAGTAAACATTTGTAGTAAATAAGTATTGTAGCAAAAATAAGCTAAATAGGCGGCGCAGCTTTAGTGTTGAATCTAATAAAATCTGTAAAAAAAACTCAATCCAGACTACAAGATCATATATCTAATATGTTTTACTTTTTTATAAAAAATTCAACAACTCTTATTTTATCGTGGAACTGTTTCAACAAGTCTCTATTGTGATAGAAATTAATTATTTGTTAATAATATTTGTGACAGCGGTCGGCGAGTGTGGCAGTGTAGCTCGGTGATCGCGTCCGATCAAAAATAATAAGCCGTCCGTGTTGGCTACCAATTATTTGCGAACCTACTGTACAATCACAAACAAAAAATAACTATTTTAACATATAATATACAATATAACTGAAATATAAGTGTATTGCACTAAACCGCAGTCGCTGCGAAGATTCGAATGATTGCAAGTAACGGTTCAACCGAAAAAGTATAGCAAAAAACAGTAGAAAGATCTAAAGAATTCATAAAACTACTTCAAAAATGGAAGACAATTAAAATAATTCGTAGCCAACTTTCAAAAAATACAATCCGTTTTACATCACTACGCGTGGTTGGTTCGATATTATTATAATATAGATAATTTAAATTACATTCGATTTAAGGGTTACCATATAATTGTGCATGAAAAATATACACCCACATGATGATCAATGATTGTGTGAAAATATTATTATGTTCGAAAAATTAATATTTTCTCCGACACAGTTGGTGAAAATTAATAAATTCTGTGGGTTTTATTCTGTCATACTGCATGCACAATGTTTATAATTATATTATAATATAGAACTTAGAAATTGATCGATTTTTTTTTCTTAATTTTTTTTATTTCAATTTCATGAATACAGACAAAAAATAAAAAAGAATTTTCGCCATCTTTGATATATTCTGTAATCGATCAATTTCCTTTTGACTGCATTTTGTATTTACAGGTGCAATATAGCGTTTTTATTACATTTGAATATTCTGATCTTATTGCAGCCATTATACAATATATTTTAAAAATTAAATGCTATAATATAAACAGTTTGGAAACACATTCTTATTTAATATTTGCCAAATCTTATTAATTATGTATTCAATGCCTGAGATCACTAATAAATGCATTTTAGTACAAAGGAATCGGAGCTAGCTGACTACCACAATGTAACTACCGAAAATAATATTTATCATTATAATAAGCCAAAGAGTGTTTTATTCTACATATATAATGAAAGATTCCACATCAGCATCGTGATTATTTTTAAATCTATTTTTCCAAAGCGCCGGTAGTCAACCAGTAGACATCGCAACCAATGCGTTCCAAATCTATCAACTAAATTATTTTCGTAGCCACGCACTGGCCAAGCACTTCTATTATTGTATTACATACAATTGACGCTCTCTCAATAATATAATAAGTATTTATGCAAAGTATATAATCCACAATGCAATCTTATTCTCTCCTTTTAATTGTTAACAACTTAAAATAGGTATAGATATATAATTGGGAGCACTCGACTATATTAAAAGACTGCTCGGTCTGAAGAAATATTCATAATATTAAGTTTATAAAGCGGAGTATATAAAAGTAAAGGAATTTGATTCCATTTGTTAGAGAAAAGCGCAGCGAGAATCAAAATATAATACATTTGAATCGCCATTATTGTACGGCATACCGTTCAATGTTGGACGATTTATAAATAAATTTTACGTATTAAAGGCTAGGAACATGATACGAACCTAACTAAATGTCAGTGGTATCGGGTGAAGCAAACGATATGCTAATTAAAAGAATAGAAAGAACTCGTCATGCCATCGAGCTGGTGATCAGAGATTACCGGACGGCCAACAGATACGAGGCGAAGACGACGCAGTCTTTGACTGACATCACACGATAGCTTCAGTACTGACTACTGACCAAACGAAACGGTGTTCGGGATAGTTGTGATGGAACAAGACTGTGTCACTGACAATAATAACTCAAGCTCTCAACAATTAGTATCATAAGAAAAGCAAAACCGTGCTCTCTAATAAGTATTATACAAAAAAATAATATATTAAAAGACACATAGAAGATGTAACAAACTAAGACGAGTAACGGTATACAATATAATATACATACACGAGTAATTGAGCAAAACGTAACGGATCAGTGAGCAATACTAACAAAATACATCGGAATATAATCATTAAGAGACACTCTCGAAGAGGAATCCTATTCTGGTTCATCGAGCGGCTAAATAATTTGAACAATGACCAGTACTCGACTACATCACGAACCAGAATGAGGAGGTTGAGCTGTTACACTGCCTGTCTAACTGTGATATGTACTTACAATAAACACGCTGAAAAACATCGCGAAAACCATTAAAATCAACGTACCCTATATATCAGAGACAACGGAAAAGTCGAGAAAAATTGACCGCCTAATATTGATATCAATTTTCCACCACTCGCGACGCGTCTCTCGTAACTTACAAAAACCTGTTTCTCAAGTTACTTAAGTAAGGTACTTAGCACTTTGCAATACGACACTATAATTTAAGTCTATTCCACATTTACCTTTAATAATATTGTTTGTAATAAATGTATAAAATATCATCTTTAATCTCTGTATACTTAATCACCTTTTTATATTTAAAAATTAAATCCATTTGTATTCGGTATAAAAATCTAATAAGTATAAATTTGAGGTTATTTCTCGGCTATGGCACTGTGTTGTGTTTGTATTCAAACTTGCTACGGCCCGAGCGCCGCTCCCGACGGCGGTAACAGAAATATTTACCTTAAATTGTATAAAAATACTTATAGCTATTATTGTAAGGCTGTTGTATTGTGGTATAATTAAAAATATATAAGTTTCAATATTAATTATCTGACCGAGACTCGGCTGCTGTGTTCGTTCGGAGACTGAACTTTAAGTTGACGCTGATGAAATGGAATGAAAAGTTTTATGTAGTTTAATGATTTTCATTTCCTCGGAACATCATGTTGTCGCAGTCAGATAAGAATATTAAAACTATTCTGAACTGATTCCTAGTCTATTGTATATGTAAAGGTCGGCGGTCGGGAGCGGTACTTGGTTCCTTAGGAGGATCACATTTAATGCTGTGGAAAATTCTAGTCACGGAAGATAACGGTATTTAATATTCTTCGATAATGATGTTTTTTTATAAGTTTGTAAACCTCCAAAAGTTTGATAGGAAAATTAATCAGAAACATAAGTATATCGGCTTAGTTTGGCAATTTTGATACCAACAAATGAAGATTAACTTCAGTTCTGAAAATCTTGCTGATCTGAAGCAAGGAGAGGTGGTTGAACAGATAGCTTTGAAGCTGTTCGATAGCTATAATAACTTTCGTTAATGTTGGCGCCAAAACTGACAAACAGAATTTTTCATATAACTGTCCAATACGTTGTTTTTGTGACTTTAATATACATAATCGTAAAACAATACTGTAAACATGTTGTAGTAAATAATATAAATGGTATCTGATAGTTGTGACTCCAATGCTCCCACTCGCACGCTATAACACTACTAATACGTAACATCCCTTATGCTGTAGGAAAAGAAACCATTAAAATAATATCATAAAATAAGCTATCATAAAACAGAGATGATAAAACGCCGTCTCTATTCGAATATTCTGATACTGAATGTAGTTTATAGTCGTTGAGACTCGACGAAAGAGTTCTATAACAATACGTTATCAAGTTGATATATTATATATATCATCTCATTTAAAAATTGCTTTACATACATGTCATACATAATGAAATAAATGTGTTGTTCCGAGTTATCTGTATCTATTGTGGACGCGACAAAAACGAGGCCCCCGTCAGTACCAGAAGATTCGAATAAATGTTTACAATTCATATATAAATTTTATTTCTCTAGGTTTAAGATTATTTCGCGATGAATGGTCGAATTGCTTGGTAATTCGAATGGTAATCTAAGCTAAAATTAATAAAACTTTCTCTGGCATTTTCACTTTCCTTTCCAACATCCAAAATCACTTGCCTTCCTCACACATGTTACCTAAGTGGTAAAATTCGCTAATCTCACTCATTTTATTATTTATATCATCAAATCAGTCGTACGGCCGACCGGCGGAGAGCGCGGTCGGTCAAAACAAATGAAAAATTTAGAATACAACACACATTACTAACTTTAATTTATAACGAGTCGATTGAGGTTAAAACGAAATAATAATAAAATCAAAAGATAAGTTAGAATCTCACAAAACATTCACTCGACTCCAAAAGGGATTCCACGAACACATTTTAATAGAAAATACGTAATTTTTAATGCTAAGTGAGCGAAATAGACGCCTAACCTACCTAGCTATCACAGTCCTTTCTCAGTCTGACCCTTTTCTCGTCCATATAAATGCATCTCAAATTGTCATATCGTTGAAAAAAACTGGTAACAACCTTATATAGGCCTTTAATACACTGCAATTGAAATTACATTATTTGGCACCTACACGTTAGCTGATCATTGATAAACGCTATGCTATGTTTAAAGTTTCCATTTAAAATAAAATCTTGTATATTGTACTTACTAATAAAAGAAATATGTATTGATGGCAAAAGGTAACCTAAATTTTTGGTTTGTATTTTCATTTATTATCGTCTGTTTTTAATTTTCTCATCTTGGTCAAAATGTTAAGCAAATTCAAATTTTATTAATAATTTTAAGTTTCGATCATCAATTCATGTTTTCTTCACTTCGTCTGCCAGATTTTATATCCTAACATTCCTAAATAAAGTTAACATAACGTCTAAATATATGTATATATATATTCATTACAAATAGGCACAACGAGGTACCGAAATCATTCATCGCGAAATACTGTTGTTAAGTGGTAAAAGAGCAAAATCTTAATTCTTTATATTTCAACGAAGAGTTTTAAATCTAATCTCTGGTTCGATCCGCTGCGACCGTATCGACAGAAGAACCACCGACAAACCTAACTCTTACGTGGTAACTTAATATTACGGGGCAAAAGACGCTACCTATACTCGCTTTCTGAACGGTAACACAATGTATGGTGTACGTACTCGTCAACTGTACATTCGCGACGGACCATCGATATATAAATCATTATTTACAGATCGAAGCGTGTTTTACAGCGATCCGACTAACAATAGACTTCGTTAACTTGGTTAGGGTCGTATACTGGAGCTCCTCCTCAGTTGTAGAGCCTCTCGGACACGTACAGGTCGTGGTGTGTGAGGGGCGCGTGGTGCGGGGGAGGCGGCGCGAGGGGCGCGGGGGGCGGGGCGTGCGGCCACCGCGGCGGCGCGGGTCACTGCGCGGGCAGGCAGCCGCCCACCGCCGGCTTGAACTCACCCGCGCCCGCAGCGGGGAACTGCTGGAACGGAGGCGCGTAGCACTGAGGGAAGTACAGCTCCGGCTTCACCACGGCCGAGGCCGGCGGTAGAGGACGAGGAGTCTTCGCGTCCGCGCGCCGGGCCTTCGCCGCGTGCGGGTTCATGTGGTTGTCGATGTGTTTCTTCACCTCGGGCTCGGTGGCGAAGCGCCGCCGGCAGTTCGGCATCGGACAACAGAACGGCCTGTCGCCCTGGTGAGTCCGCGTGTGCTGGTCTAGAATAGCTTTCTGCCTGAAATCTTTCCCGCATTGCGTGCATTTGTATGGCTTTTCGCCGGTGTGGATGCGAAGATGTTGGTTCAGAATGGTCCGCTGCCTGAAGAATCGTGGGCAGTACACACAGCCGTATGGTTTCTCATTTGTGTGAATGCGTAAGTGTTGGGTTAGATGTGATTGCTGCCTGAAACGTTTTCCACATTCGGGGCACGGATAGGGCCGTGATTCAATATGGATACAGCCGTGTTGCAGCAGTGTTGACTTCTGCTTGAATTCCTTCTGACATATAGGACATCGCACATACAAAGGCATAGCACGTCCCCCTAATACATCCGGCAGTTTTCCTCCTTTTAGGTACTGCAATGAAAGGCTAGAACCGAATACAGCATGGTTGAGGCCCTTAGTATCTTTAAAGTAAGCAGGATACTGTGCAGAGTCTCCGGGTGAAAAGCAAGATCCCCGTTGTTCACCATTCTGACCATCTGTGTCGCCATAAGTAGATTGAACTTCTTCCTTGTTCTCATCCGGTGGGAACGGTACATCCTGAGGCCACAAAGTCGGCGTCGTCCCGTTCTTGAAGATAAGATGCGGTGAAACGTCTGGAAAAATCGAATACTTTGGTCAATTACTTGCCCGATTCGTCCGCAAAAGTATTTGAATCGACGAGTGGGTTAATCGAACTGAGGAACGGTTACGGGAACGTCCGGCGATCGGTTCCGCGTCTCGCGAGCGCCCTCCGCTAAGCGGGCGACGAGGGGACCGAGAATTTGTCTGATAGGAAGGCCAATGGATGCGAGACCGAATCGAACGGGTGAGGGGCGGTGGGGAGCGCTGGCGTCGCCCGCACTGACGCGAGCCGGCCGGGTCAGTGCGGGCGGCGCGCGCGAGGACCGGGGCGGGGCATATATGTGTGAATAGCGCTCGCCTTGGTGTGTGCGGACGTGCTGGTTCAGGATGGCCTTCTGGCGGAAATGTTTGCCGCACTCGCCGCACGTATATGGCTTCTCACCGGAATGGATGCGGAGGTGCTGGTTGAGGATGGCCCGCTGGCGGAAGGAGCGCGGGCAGTACACGCACGCGTACGGTTTCTCGTTGGCGTGGATGCGGAGGTGCTGCGTCAGGTGGGACTGCTGCCGGAACCGCTTGCCGCACTCGGGACACCCGTACGGCCGGGAGTCTGTGTGGATCCGCTCGTGCTGCAGCAGGGTGGACTTCTGTTTGAAGTCTTTGCCGCACGTCAGGCATTTGAATAGACGGAGCTCAGTGTTCGGGTTGTGCTTCCGTGGTTTCGGTGGTTCAGGTTGCACGATATCTGGTAAGTGGCGCAAGTCCGCCGTCGCATACTGGTCGAGTGGACCCTCCAACGATAGCACTCCGCCGTTCTGTTTTAGGTAGTGTAAGGGGAAACCACCAGTTCCGAGCATGTGGCTCGCAGGTCTCGCTTCTTTGAAATATGGCGTGTATTGCTGTTGTAAGTCAGGTTGCGTGACGAAGCATGGCGTTCGGTCCAGATGGTCTTGCGACGGCTGTTGAGGCTGGGGTTGATTTTGTAGCTGCTGCTCGACCTGCATGTGCTCTGGGGATGTTTGTTGCTGCGCCTGTTGCTGTGCTTGTTGTTGCGCTTGTTGTTGAGCTAGTTGTGCGGCCTCGTCCGCGGACGGGTCTGGGGGCGGTGGTGCGGGCGGGTAGGGGGAGGGGGCCGGGGACGCCAGCTGTGGCTCCGGCTGAGGGGAGGGACCCCCAGGGCTTTGGTGTTGCATCGCCTGATAGCCTCCATCCAACACCGCTCCACCCCACTGTGTTCCAGGAGGCGCGCGCTCCACGCCATCTTTATAGAGCACGTAGGGCGCTGTCGTATCTGGAACCAAAAAGAAACCATTGATTTTTTTTATCATTAAAGTAACCATGTGTTCTCCCTTTAAAATATTAGGAAATCAGTGAAAGGAACTTGGACTGAACTTTATGGTAGATTCTTTTTTGATATAAAATGTAGCAAATATTGGTGGTAACGAAAAGGCAGTTGAATTGTTTTGTGTTCGCTTATATCCAAAATGGCTACGTGTTGGACCATTTTCATGAATCAATAAGTATGATTTAATGTCGGGGAATATCTCTGCCGGTGTCGTGCATCAAAGGCGATGTCGTGCCACGCGGTCGCAACACTCTCTTGCTGCCAAATAAGAATTTAATAAAATGTCACATTCGGGTGAGACGTTTTTGATGGTTGCATGCTTTTATGATATACACGTCATATAAGACAGTGATTTTATGAAACGTTAAAATTTTCCATTCATTTTAGAAGATAGCCTCCCTCATGCATGATTAATATACTGAGCAACTTCATATTAAATTTAAATTAATATCACATTATCGATCGGTAGTGATTACGGATACTCTCTATTGGTGTGAGAAACAATAAAAACTTTATACGAAACTATATAAATAATTTTCTAATTTCACTCACTTTCTTTACTCACAAAGCTAATACGAAACGCCGGAAAATGCGATGCTTTTCTTTTCTGAAGAAACGCAAACAAAAGTTTAGTCATTATCATTTACCGCATTGTAACTATACGACTATGAGATTTAGATTATGATGTCAATTTGAATCTGTGGTGAAAAGTAATATTTTTTTATATTCCGACATTCACTATTTCGTACAATTATTGTATTGAATTCTTTAAAGTTTTCATATTAAATTCAATTCAACCGAGCGATAGTTTTATAAATAATTTCAAAACAAAGAACGCTTCAGTGGGACGCATCCTAAAAAAAATATTTCCATCCATCTTGGTCGGACGTCCATCTTTAATATCGTTAATAACCTCTCGGATGGGCTAAGCGATAAAATCGTGCTACTACTCCCTTATCGGTACAATCGATTTGTCGATATCTCGATATAAAATTATCGTGATCCAACTTTTTGGTATAAAATATCCAATTAGCTTACAGCTTCTTCCCCTAGTTCTAGTGTATCATTTTATTATTTCTACTTACATTATAATAGCCACGAACTTTCACTGGGTGGAATGTTTATTACTCTTACCACAAAACTAAAAAGAACTTTAGAATAATTTACCTAACACATCAGAATAATATAAAGAGAATAATTTACGCTTGTATATCCTTGGGAATAAGATGCAACTTTTGTATTCACTATAGAATCGATAGATGGCGCTACCTGTTAGTTACAAAGCAATTTTCTTTTAAACATATGATACGTTTTTTTTTAAGTTAATTCCCGCGCACAAACTAATAGGTAAAAGTGAGTTCTTTCCATATTTTAAGAGCTTGTTTTTTACAATTCTATGCTCTAATATTTATTGCTATTAAAGCCTTCGCTTACATGCGCAGGCGACTCTTGTTTCTTATTTAATCCCCTTTGTGATTCCTCATAATAATTGTGCGTACAACAAAGTGAGTGTAGATCTTTTTATGGAAGACAATGATTTATAACTGAATTACATCTGTTCACAATCTCCAGGATAAATAATAAGGGAGGAAGCGTCCAGGCGATTTCATTTGACAGCGACGTTTTAATGACGCGGAGTAATTTTAAACCTATCCTCTCACATGTGGGGTGTCATATCGAATTAAGACTTTTTGTCTTAACCCTTTTAAATTATATCGTTCAGATCACGTCGGCAGAGCCTGGGAATAACAGACAACCCCTTTCCATGTGGCTTAAGTTTTTATTACTTGTATAATTTCAGTAATGACATTTTACTTATGCTAGACATATGCTGTACGAGAGTTTGGTGAGAAGTTTTATATTGTAGACGGAAATTAAAACTCTTAAATTAATCATGTTATATAATGAGTAAATTCTTTTGTTGCTGGACAATAGGAGTAAAACTATTTGTAATGTTTCCTCTTGATCACAATCGCTATAAAAAACGTATGACGAATGTAAGGCAGTGGTGGATCCAGTGAGATTTAAAACTGGTCCGAAACGAACCGCCTCTTCCTGCGTCTGATACAACCGAGGAGTACGGACGGCAAAACAAGATGCATAGCTTCATGAAGAAAAATAAAACAATACTAGTTCAAACAATGTGGAAGGTCTTACGTTATCATAGAATGTGAAAAAATAAACTTTTGTAACGACACTTTACATATTACATTTTAATGACTAGTGAATATTTGAAGAAACCGGTTTATTTACAATTTACTTACTTACAATGTATTAATATGTAGCAAAGGTCGGATAAATTAACTATAACATCAAACGAAATTAGTTTGTAATAATTATATCGTCGCGATATAATTACAATAAAAATTAGGCTTAGTCTAACTCAGATGGAGAAAAACATTACACTGATCTTAATGCTAAAATAATAAAAATAAATTAACATCTTATTAAGACTGAAATACAACTTAGACCGCGTATTTTTTTTACCGTCATATTAGATTTTTTATTTAAAAAAGTGATATAATAATATTATTTTTTTGATTTTATATAAGTCGATATCAGTTTTTATATGAAGTATTTATTATCTGTGCACCGTATCCGGGTTCACGGATGTTTCACGAGCGGTTGAATCCGTCACCCTAAAGTCGGGATTAAACTGAACGGAATAAATCACATCTAAAACAACCTTAGGTACATATACAACATACAAACAGAAACTAAACATTATTGTTACTTGATGGAAATATGAATAGAGTTTTTGTGGTTTGTCCCCCGTTTTCGGACAATTATTTTTGATTGCTACCATCGAACGGTCGAAGTGATGAGAGGTATGTGGTATTCCGAGGCTTTTTTTTTTGGAGTTTCTAAATGGTTTATCATGTCATAGTGATTACTCTCTTTATGTTTATTTGAATCATTTCTTTTATATATAATATTTTTTATGCTAATGATGTAGAATTGAAAAACGTCAAATAATTTGAGACTGGGACACGCAAGACGCCTTGATGCTTAATGGATTCGCGAGACATAAGTCAGCGGCGACTCATAATCGTAATTTATCGAATGTTTTGAGTTCACTTTGAGTTATTTCAGCCGCTGATTCACGTTAACTTAACTTATTTAACAATGAAAAGGATGCCTGACTCACTGAGGGTTCGTGACTTTGAAAATGGTTGCAAGTGGCTCGTTACGACTTACTATACAAATACTCAATTTGGAAATGTTTATTTAAAACAAACGCATATTTTTAAAATAACACTCCCGTGTATGCAGTACAGTTTTTAATTATACTTTATTTACATTTTAATGAACATTTTAATTTGGTAAATTGAAATCATTCACAACTCAACCGCTCATTCAAAATAAAGACATTGGCACTACATGCGTAAGTGAATTCACTGAATGAAATGAAGACGTTACATTATAAAAAGTCAACTGTCAACGGTGCATAAAAAGTGGAACGTACGGCTTGTACATTGAATACGACAATAATACATAATACAAGTTGCATTGCTCGTTTAGTTTTAATTCAGTATTCATTAGCCGTTACAACTCGAACATGTATTGCGAGGAAGCGAAAGTGACATTTGATATGACGATATATCTTTACTGCTATACATTAATTATCGTTCCAACTTTTTAGTTCGTTTTGCAAATATTAAAAACTTTAAATATAGGTTACGAATTAAATGTCTTTGAATTTTAAAGAAATAGTGTTTTCATAAAAATAAAAGTGGTTTTATTTTTGACAAAAGTTTATGGAAGTGAATAAACATTAACATAATTAATTATAAAACACAAGAATGTTTAAAGATCCCTAATTTTTTATCAGCTGGACATCGGTACCGGTTGTAAGCGCGTCACCGCGTCGCGACAATTTATTTTGGTTCGGGGCAATGCACTTCGCAGCCCTAACATCTTAGCGAATAAACGAGAGTAAACATTAAAAGAAAAACAAACGAATTAAGGCTATTAAAATTAGTTTACATGAAGCGAGACTGCGCGGCTTTGAGATGTCTTTTTATTCTTACGTGCCTCCTGTGATCTGGACACTATTTATATTATTTTTATGTCTTGAATTATTTAATTTCGCACGTCCTATGCGTATGTTTTGATTGTAACGCTCGGCATAAGCCCTGAAGGCCGCAGTAAACGTAATATAATGCCTCGGCTCTCTTTATTTTTTCGGTAAAAATAATAAATCTCTTAAATGGTTTCGGCCGTAATTAACGACGTGTTCACACTCGCGGCGACTAAAGAATGGCGTTCGAGCCAATAAAAGTTTAATACAGACATGTAACCGGGATGCAGTTTGTTATTCCTGAAATAAATGAATTGGACTCGCCCTAAATCGTATCGCGACATGGAAACGCAATTTAACTGATACTAATTAAATGCTATCTACAATAGCCTGATTTTATATAACATTAGTTATAGGATCGACGTGCTCGTAGGACTATACGGAGGCGTTATATTGTGCGTGGCTTATGATTTGTAACGGCTGCGAATGTGTCACAAATCATTGAAATGGCGTTTGGTGTAATTAAAGTGAGAGCTAGCAATAACCGGCATTAAGCTGGTGCTTCGACGACGCGTCTCCGAGCTATATCTGTCCAAGACGCCTCTCGACAAATGCTAATGTCCTCTAGGACACCAGTGCTTGCTGTTCGATTTATATACGCTTACCGACTTAACATATACAACTTCTTATTAGACTTAAGTTCTCCACACATAACTATAGAATGAAATACTTTCTTATGATTCATTGATCTATATTCTCTCAATCCTTATTCCTTAGATATTTATTATGATTTTTTTAATAATAATCTTAATGAAAAGTAAATCTCCATATTGTAGTTCACATGATTTTGGAATACGTCTTTATATGGAATATAACTATTTGGTATATATAGTAATATCGGTTCGACGATGTGTTCAATATGAAT